TTTTTTTTTTTTATAAAAAAAAAAAAATGGGGGGGGGGGGGGGCAGTATCACATACTTGTTTTACCATTTTAAAAAGTTGTTTGAGAACAACCCCAATTTTATTTTACAAAACAGTGCTTTGCCTACTTGTATGATAGCATTGTCAAAATACTACACAATATTCGTATAAAAGAATTTACATGTGATATGTGTAATAAGGGCTTCAACTCTTACTGAATCGGAATTGTTCTGAAAAGATTTTAAGCCTAGTGTACTTCTCTCTCCATTTGTTTGAGCTAGAAAAAGAAAAGCAGGGGAAGACATCACCCCTTTACTATTTCTGAGTAATTCACTACCAGAAAGATGCTTTGGGGGAAGTGGTGGAGCATGTTAATAGGTCCTCCTCAAGCGTGTGGGAGGATACATTAGAGATGATGGGAGAAAGGCTGAGTCAAGGGATGCAGAGGAACCAGCCCATCACATCTCAGAGGTTGGTATGTTAACTCCCTTCGCGTAGGCTTCAGGCAAGCACAGGTGGACAACTGTTTCATAGAATGTGGAAACAGCAATTATGCTGGATATATCTGGTTTGATCAAGAGTTCATGTATTTTTCATTAGAAACATGGGTGTTGGGGAGTAAGGCAGACACCCATGTGTCCTTGAAAGAATTACCTTTATCCCCAGTCCTTGATTTTCTGTCCCCTGCATTTCCCCCTCCATCTCCTCCTCCAATAAAATGGGTGAGAATACTTACGTAGGGTTTTCCCCCCATGGCTCAGATTTTTGGGCAGTCTGGCCTCCTAAGGCACTTGGCCCTGAAGGTGAATCAGGCTTGAATTCTTACTACATAATTGCCCAGTACCTGGCTGGCCTTGGCTGATCTCCAGAAAGGGGGTTGGATTGCGGTGACTAACTTTGGTCTAATTGTTAAGAAAATTACATGAATGTATCTGAAGTTACCAGCAGTCAAATTCAGCTCTAAAGTAGTGTGTCTGCGTAGGTGGATAGTAATTAAGAGTTACAAAAGGAAGAATTTTCTCCAGCTTTAAAGGACAGGTATTGATTTTGAAGAGATTGCACAGGTAGATTGAAAGACCTGCCAAGGAGACCTCATGCCTATCACCTGCTTGGATATTGCAATGTGCTTTACATGTGTCTGCCTTTGAAGGCTATGCAGAAACTGCAATTAGTACAAAATGCAGCAGCTGGTATATTAGCAAATCATAGTTGCTGTAGTCCTACAAATATTTTAGGTTGTTAAGTAACCACAAGTTATTGGGTTACCAGGTGCAATTCAAAGTGCTGTTTTTGACCTCTAAACCCTAGATAGGTCCCATATATGTATCCATAAGACCATGAAGAAAGAGATTCACAATGTTTTCAGTGCTGGTCCCTATATTATGGACCAGCCTTCCTCTCAGTATTGACCAGCAGCCTCATAGTTGGCCTTCCAGAAGCTGCTAAAGACCAAGCTGTTCCAGAGAGAATTTGGAGGGTAAATGGTTGCCACCACCCTTGCTCCATTAGTGAATCTTTTAACTGACTACCATATGCTGATTTTATCCTGTGATGGAAGCTACTGAGAGTTCTGTTTTGGGACTGACCACACACAATAAATTGGAACCAAAACTTGTAGCTTCTTGAATGCAATTTCCTTCCCGTAGTCCTCAGTTGTAGCAGGGAAAAGCAAATCCTTGTGAGCTGGCAGCAAATAGGCTATTATGCAGAAACTGGACTTGCTTCTTTCAGCTGGGAGTACTCTTGCTCTTACAAATGATGCACATTAATTACACACCTGGGTGTGGTAAACAGTACTTGTGAAACTTTTGGCATGTGGGTGTTAAGTACTCCCCATCTTGTAGCCTGTTTTGGAGTTGCTTTATTGTAGAGAAGAGGCAGGCACCATCGCCAAAGAGTTGATTAACACCAGAACCATGGAAGGCTCGTGGAAGGGTTGGGTACTGCTGGTAGCGCTCTTTCTGGCTTTCTATCAAGGTAAAGAATGAGGGTTTTGTTTTTTCCTTACAAGAGAGTAGGGAAGTTTATGTTACTTGAAGAAAAAGGTAAAATGTGCAAGTAGGTATGGCTGGTTTTGATTCACCTTTGGGGGGAGAAGCGCACCTGGCTTGGCTGAGAAATGGGGAAGTGTATGAAACTGGGGATTCAAGTAAGGTGCCTTTCCCTCTTACATGCAGAATAATGATCCTGCCTTAATCCTAGAACTTCCACCCTCTCATGCAGAAGAGAAGGTGATGCTTGTGGCCCAGACACAGCTGCTCATATGGGAGGGCTGAATATTGGGCATAGGTTTGGCTGCCCTTCCTCTGTAGTGGCTGGGTTCCATTCACATAGAAGGTTTTGTTGTGGGTGACCAACAGGTGAGCTGGGGACATTTTAAGATGCCGCATCCCGTAGGCAATGACTTTAGTATCCTACTGAGAAGGGAAGTAGCATTTAGCTGTCAAAGCATAGAGCCACTCCAACATCTGCTATGCTCTTCCTGTGTTGTCCCATTGTTC